TTTTATAAAATTAATAATTTTAATAATAAAAAATAAAAATTTTAAAAAATACACTTATTTGTTTTTAAACATGTTCTTATTAGTCATTTAATGTTAAATAACAACCGTTAACTATTGTATAATAACTAAACAGTTATATTTATTGAATCTGTTATTTACTATCCGTTACCCACTTTTTGCTATCCGCCATCTGCTATCCGCTATCTGTTATCCGCTATCTGTCACCCGCTACCCGCTATCTGTTATCGCTACCCGCTATCTGTTATCGCTATCCGCTATCTACTACCTGCTATCTGCTATCCACTGAATTTTAACCGCTATACCAAACATATTCTAAACTAATATAGTAATTTTTCCATATTTTAAAGGAAATATATATTTTTTTACTTTAAATTTATTATCATCTCTTAATTTTAATTATCTATCATATCATAAAAAAATTTTCTTTATTTTTATTTTTTAAAAGATAAAATAGATAAAAATAAAAATTATCCCTAATCTTTAATATAAAGATGAAATCAAAAAGTCTATATTAGTATGGAAGGGATAAAGTATTAGAATAGTAGCTCAATAGACTAAAGGAAGTGATTTTGGGATAACTTTTTTATCTTATCTTTTTGTACAATTTAATATATTATTTACATGATTGGTTCTTTCTATTTATGTGGTTTCCTGATATTGAATGTATCTATTCATTTAATGACATGTAAAAGTTGTATAAAAAAGTGGTATAAAAAGGTTGTATAAAAAGATTATTCCTATAGCACCGCACATGAACTAATGAACTATTGTTCTGAGTAGAAGGAGTTTGATTTTTATTAAATTAAATTTTAAATTTGAGTTTTATAAATAAAAAAATATACATTAAGAAAACTTTTCTTTTATAAGATCTAACACAAATTAATTTCAAATTAATTGAAATATAATTTGACTAACAAATATCAAGAAATTAATAGAAAAAAAAAAAAAAAAAAAAAAAAAAAAAAAAAAAAAAAAAAAAAAAAAAAAAAGAGCTCAACGGGCTCAGACCCATGAAGGTGTAGGCAAGGACATCCATGGAGGCACATCCCACCAAATATGACAAAGGGGACCAGTGGCATGATGACACATTTAAAGAGCTACTCAGAGGGTCTATAATTGCTCTCAATTACTCCACAATGTATTCTTTG